CAGAGCCAACAGCTTCAGGGGGCACCTACACTGAACACTGTCCCAACATTTTCCACAGGAGTTCGTCCTGGACGATATCTCGCTGCTGAGGGTGACCTGGGAAGCAAGGGAAGGTCTTCTGCTGCAATGCGGCTTCTGCCCTGGCCCATATGCAGCTTACCTGTGTGCAGCAATGGTCCCCCCGCCCCTTGCGGCACAGTGGCGCGGACACGTTAGCCTGGCTGGGACAAGGACCATGGTGGCTCTCCCGATAAACCTGCGCAAGCGCATTGCACATGTTCTGGATGAGACATTCGAGGAGATTACCGAGGCCGATTACCGTGATGTGATAAACCACATCAATGCATTATTCCGCATCTAGGCATGCATGCCTAACCCTCCTCTCCCAAAGAGTCCACACCGAAAAAATTCCTTCCCGAAAAAAAAAACGCTTACCGGGAACCTGCTCTTCTGTTTGTCCTCCACCAAGTACTGGCCGCTGCGACTGGCTACCTTCCTCCTGGCTCGAGAAGAGCTCCTGGCTGCATGGCTCCAGGGATTCCGGGGTGTCTCCATCCGGCCCACCACCATCACTCCCGTTTTCCTTCTCCTCCTCCTCCTTCTCCTCTTCCTCCCCCCTCCCCCCCCCACCGGCTCTGAAGTGTCCATGGTGGTGCTCGGAGTGGAGGTGGGGTTAACCCCAAGTATCGCATCCAGCTCTTTGTAGAATCGGCAGGTCGCGGGGGGAGCACCCGAGCGGCCGTTTGCGTCGCGGGCTTTGCGGTAGGCACTCCGCAGCTCCTTTACTTTAATCCTGCACTGCAGGGCGTCCCAGTCATGGCCCCTTTCCATCATGTCCTTTGATACCTTCCCGAAGGTATCGTAATTCCTACGGCTGGAGCGCAGCTGGGACTGTACAGCTTCCTCCCCCCAAACACTGATGAGGTCCAGCAACTCGCCATTGATCCATGCTGGGGCTCGCTTGGCGCGTGGAGGCATGGTCACCTGGAAAGATTCGCTGATAGCACTCCACACCACGCCGGGCTGAGCAAACAGGAAGGGGATAAAATTCCCGGGGAATGTAAAGGGTGGGTCACATGGTTGGTTACCTGAGGCCAGGGCAGTAGAGTTTGAACTGATGACCAGAGTGGCTAGAACAGGCATTGTGGGATACTGCTGAATAATTCTGGAGGCCATTCACAGCGCATTGGGTGGCCACACTGGCGCCGCAGCGGCAACGCAATACTCGATGTTCCTCTCGGAGAGGTAGAGTACATGCAGCGCTGCAACCACGGAGATACAGCGCTGCAAATGCCTTGCCAGTGTGGACGGGGAGTGAGTTACAGCACTGTAACTCGCAAGTGTAGCCAAGGCCAGAGAGAGCTGCCAGCATTTTCTTTCAAATTAGGTAAGCTTCTGGGGCCTCTCCTGATTTCTGCTCTTCCATTATATACAGTTTCTTAAGGGAAGATGCAGGCAGTAATATTTTAAGAGCACTTATCATCCATTCCAGGGGTCCAGTGGCAGTCCGCTCCCAAGAACCTATGCCTATGTCTAGAGCATCTGCATCACAAGGAGAGGTGCATAACTGAGCCAATTGTGTTAAGTCCATGCCATCAGCAGAGGGGTACATTTGCCAAACTTGGGCCAGCCATGGAACGGCTGTGTCACACTGTGGCCCCAGTCTCTCAGCAAAAGCCTTGGCTTGACTAGGAGCCCATCTTACTACGTCCGTGACCAGCTCTGTTGTGGGAAGATTGGCTCCTGCAACTACGTGTTTAACCTCCCTTGTGGCAACATTATGCATATGTGGCCAATCGGGGTTAAATGGGTTTTTGGGGACAGCATCAGGGAGTATCTTTATTTTCCCAGGGAGCTCCAAATCACAATCTTCTTTTAACCTTACAGCTGCTACCACCCCCTTATGGGCACTAAGTTGGACACGCAATTTACTAATCTTTGCCTCACATTCCTGATGGTCTGCTGCTGCCTTTGCTGCCCTGTTCTCTTCTGCCAAGAAGCGAGTTGCAGCTCTTGCTTCTTCTAACAGAACTTTTGTGTGTGTTAACTCTTTTCTATACTGTTCTGCATTCCTGCTTGCCTTGTCTCTCTCCTCTTGTATATCTCTAAGTATAGTCACCATTCTGAGCTTTTCTGCTATCAATTCACACCTCTGTCTCACATTTATTCAAACGTTGTTGTAACTGCTTTTTCTCAAACTCTAGTTCCTGCCCTGTCTTTACCATTTCAACCATGTCCAGACATGCATAAAATAATGCCCATGCAGCAGCTGCATCCTTTGCACTACCACGTGGCTTAAAGGTTGTGCAATATTGTTCAAAGCTCAGACTAGCTTCACTCAGGGGATTCTCACCCTTAAAACACCCCCTTTCCCAGGGGCATTTCCCCTTTTTCATTACCCATCTCTCTAACGTGTTGGTTTTCTCCTGTCTCAAGTGAGCATCTTTTTCGCCATCTCTATTTCCTTATTTCACTAATGATCCCCACCAACAGCTCTTTCTAAAATCTTTATTTTTAAGGCACTACTCTTAACTCCTTATTTCACAGTTCTACAGGTATTCTAATTATGATTCTTAACAGAAGGTTACCAAATAGTCTATCGGAGAGAGACCTTGCTAAAGGGGCTTGGTCTGAAAAAGGAAAAGAAAGAGAGCTTACTCAGGTCAGTGCCTTAGTTTCCCTACTCCACAGCAAGTACTCAACAATTACCATCTGATTAGGGTCATGCATTCTCCACCAATTTGTTACCAGATCTGCCCGTTACTTTGGGGAATGCTCAATTATTTGGGTTACTCTTCCGGGGGGGGGGAAGGGTGTCCTGTAATTCTATCAATGTACTGCTTGTGTCACATGTGTTTCTATATGGAGTTCTACTTCTCCCTTATGCAAGTCCCTCCCA